CTTTCCTGCTTATGCAGGGGGTCAGACTCGATGATCTATTGAGGTCCCTTCCGACCCTAACATCTATGAATCTATGAATCTGTCTGGAATGAAGAATGAGGCATTACTCTGTTTCAGATTGTTAACATCTTGATTTTTAACATAGATTTTTATGATGATAATCTGTGGGCAAGAAAGATCTATTTTTGTCTTCCTTGTATGTAGTTGGTATAACACATTATCTTTTTTTGGCTAATTCAGTACTAGTTTGGGAGAATTATGTTTAATTATACTGAAATTATCTTTAGTGCTTGGCATATTTATTTCGTCTGATTTATTATATTCTTTTGTTTCCCACCAGAGGAGCCTCCGAATTTGTGCAGTGGTTTATACCTGATTGAATATATGGTGATTAAGACTGAGGGTAGAAGAAATGTATGGATTTGCATTATTTAGCATTTGTCAAGTTTAGCATCTGAAGTAACCGAAATAAGAAAATGATATTGGGGATTTCCTCACCCAGCCCAGAGTTGGTTAGGAGCTGCTCTAGAAGTGGGACAGCTCCTAGCCAGCCCCTGGCTGCTTGGAGAATTCCCTGCCCAGTCTGGAGCTGCCCCAGAAGCAGGACAGCCCCCAACCACGCCCCAGCTATGCAGGGGGAAGCCCTGCTGAGCACGGAGCTTGTCCCCATGGGGACAGCTCTGCATTGGCAGCTGTCTCCTGGCCCCATGCACATCAGGAAAGATGGTGCAACTGGCAGAGCTGTCCTGGCCCTGTGCACATGGGGACCAGCCTCGTGCTCCCTGACCACTCCTGGGCTAGCACCCAGGAGTGCTTCAGGGGACCAAAGCAGGGTAGGAGCACCCATTGGTGATGCATAGGGGGTGCACATGAGAGTATATGCACCCCCTGAGTGTGACAGTGCACCCCCTGCAAAAAGGTGCTGCCAGCAGTGCAGGCAGTCGCCGCATGCCACCCCTGCCCTCAACGCTGACACTGCTGGCAGCATCTGCGGGCAGTCTGCAACCGCTGCTGGCCACCGCTGACGCTGCTGCCATCTGCAGGTAGTTGTTGACTGCTGGTCAGCACTCACCAGCCCCCCTCCCTCCCACTGCCAACAGTGCCACAACCACCAGCGGGAGCTCCCTGCTTTCCTCTCACAGCACCGCCACCTGCAGGAGCTTGCTGTGCCCCATACCAGCCTCTGGGGGCACGTGGCATCCATGGGAGCACCTCTGTACTGGGCTGCTCCCAACAGGGAGCATGTGGAGATGTAGAGATACACCCAATGTGATTTGTAAGCACTCTCTTCTCACCAGGTTGCAACCATTTTTAACCCCTCCTTTTCATGTTCTCACATAGTAATGGGAAAGGATTGCTGGAGATAAGAAGATTAGAGGAAAGTGGGGACTGATAATGAATTTCACTTTTTCAACTTGCATATTTAATTTTCAAAACCCAATTATATATGGGCTTTACGATTGTGAATATGACAGAATATATTCCCTGATCTCACACACAGCAGAAGTTCTATAATAATCTTTATACAGAACCTTTGGTACAAAGCACTCCTAAAATGCCTCTCATAATTACTACAATTATAGTATTTAAATATTTATTAGTAATGTTTATATTAGTGCAGAATATTTGAATGATGAAGGCACATAGAAACTTAAGGCTGACTTCTTATTTGTACTAAAGATATTTTACACCTTCCTGGAGTTCCAGAGTTGTCTTAAAGAGTCTATAGATTATATTTATGTATGCTTCACAGCCTCTCTGCACTCTGAGTGGTGTCAAGTGACCAGAATGTAAATATGAATATAGGCCATTAGAAATTAAAAATGCATCCTGGATTTTAGAGGCTGAGTGGAGTCCCTACTAAAAGTTTGCCTCATTGTTCCATAAGTGGTTTCTTGTGTGCCACTCTTCAATAACCCTTTAAAGATATTCCCTAGGGCCTCCTGAATACATCTCAGACTCAACTAACCCTTCTTTTTCTTTCTTTACTCTCACTGGGCACGTCCAGACGAGCCTGCATATGCTTCTTACAGCGTCTCAAACCCCTTTGAGGGAAAAAAAGGGTTTGAGGGAAAAAAGGAGGCAAAAAGAGGGGAAAAAAGGGGTTTGAGGGAAACCCCTTTGAGGGAAAAAAAATGTTTCCCTCACTGTAAATTTGCAGCGGGGGAGCAGAATTAGACCCCTAAATATCTAGGGGTCAACGAGTACCCCTGGGGAAAAAAATGGGTCAGGGCGCAGTCTGGGACTCTGCAACCAGAGGCTCAGTCCTCCACAGAGTCTCTCTGGCAGCCTGCCAAATCATCTCTGTAGTTGGCCGTTTACCCGGATCTGAAGCACGCTGCCTGCCCATGCTGGGCAGGCAGCACTGCAAGCTGCAGGGATCTAAACCAGGCTTCTACCAGGTAAGTAGGGGATTGGGCAGGGCTGGAGAAGTGGGGAGGGGACCTTCCTGAGGCTGGAGACAAGCAGGAGAAGAAGCAGGAGGCTGGAGACAAGCCCCTGGAGGTAAGCTGGAGACTTCCCCTACTCTCTCAAGCCTCCTGCTCATTCTCTGCTACTGTTGGTGAGTGTGGGGGGGCGAGGGGCTGGGAGAGCAAGCAGGGAGCTGGGGGAATGAACAGAGAGCAGGGGGAAGGAGGGGGGGGGGGGGGTATGAATGGGAAGCAGAGAATGAACGGGACATGGGGGAATGAATAGGGGACAGGGAACGAACGGGGGCAGAGGGAATGAAGGGGAGATGGGGGGAATGAATGGGGAGCAGAGGAACGAACGGGGAGCTGGGAGAACAAACAGGGGTGGGGGTAATGAGCCTCCAGAGGCTAGAGAACAGCAGGGGAGTGAGCAGGGGGCTGGAGAGCAGTGCAGGGGCTGGGGGGGAGCTGTAGCCCCTGGGGGACCTGGCACCCTGCAGGCATAGTCTATGTGCTCTGTGGGGGGCAGGGGACCATTGACGATGCGTAGGGAGTGCACATGGGTGCATGTGCACCCCCTGAGCGTGGCAGTTCACCCCCTCAGAAAAGGTGCCTGTGGGCAGTCTCCACTTGCCCCCCCGCACCCGCTACCAATGACATCTGCAGGCAGTCAGCAATCACCGCTGGCCACTGCTGTTGCTGCCGGCAGTGTCTGCGGGCGGTCGTCAACCCCTAGTTGGTACTTGCCACCCCACCCCCCACTGTCGGCAGCGCCAGCAGCGTCTGCGGGAGCTTATCGCTGCCTCCGTGCCCTGCCAGCCGCTGGGAGCACATGGTGTTCATGCAGGGGCCCACCCATCCTAAGCAGCCCCAACACGCACAGTCCCCTTGACACTTAACCACACACTAACTCACATCCCTCCACACCTGCCCACACACCTATCCACATCCCCCCTAACCCTAACCCCTCTTCTCACCCCCTCCTGCAAACCCCACATTCCCCTATCACATACCTATCATGTGAAAAGGAAACCAAAAGCAAACATTAAAACATATAGATATTTAGGATTTATTTTATTATGATGCTAGACACACTGGTAGGCTTCCAAATTTCTTTAACATTGTAAATATCGCAATAAGACATTACCCATCTGATCAATTCCCACTTTCTCTCTCTCTTTTGTTCCAATTGTGGAAGAATGTGGATTTTGGGGTATTTTAAAAAGTGAATTTGGTATACTGCTTCAACAGTCTAGCTGACACAAGGGGTAGTATCCCCGGATACCAAGTGGCTAGGCCTCAGAAGCTCTTGAGAGCATGTAGCCCTGAGCTGCCCTGAGGGCAGGTTTTTATACTGCTGCTAGCACGAGTGCTGGCCCCAGGCTCTAGCTCCCCTTGGCTGCAGATCTGGGAGGAGCCAGGCAGAGTTATTTTGCCCCAAGTGGCACAATTTGCTCCACAACGAAGTGCATGTCCGAGCACATGAGCTGAGGCAAAAAGCCCTGGCTCAAATTTGCACCACTTCTATTTGAGCTGCTGCAAGCGCACATGCTGGCATGTGTGGATGCGCCCATTGTGTTCAGTAGCATTGGCTTATTTTATGCTTGCCTTGCTTTAGAGGTGTGATTTATTTATTTTTTTGACAGCCATACTATCATTTTCTTAAACATAGTTCTCATCATGAATGCTTAATGCAAATAGCAACTTTCCCACCTATGTATTGCATAATGTGTGACATTTAATTTGTCAAAGAGTTGTCAGTGTGGTAGGGGAAAAGGCTATCCAGAAAAATACTTCTGAGAGCTGAATAATCTAGCAAAGATATGTGGAATAAAACATGGCATTCCTCTTATGTTCTAAAGAGAAGTTTTCATCTCATGCGTAAGAATCTCAAAAGAAGAATGTCATTTCAGCTTACATTTCCCACATTTTTATTTAACTTTCTTTATAAATCCTTTAATTCCCAAGTTAAGCCTTTTCTTTGGGGTATTTATTTTCCATTTTTGGTGTTAATTTGACTTATATTTCAGATACCAGGAACTGCATAGAAATGCAACCAGTGCAAGACATCTAGATGACACAATATCCAGTGGATTTAGTCAGGATTTCAGTGATTTTGTTGCAGAAATTGATAAGGCCATCACAGCTCTAAAAGAGCAGGTTTGTCTTTTCATCAACTCTTCTATTTTAAACTTCAGTGTATCACATGGTAATGTGAGAATGTGTTTTCGGCTCACTTTTCTACATCTAGCTGTATTTTGTATTGTATAAGAAATTATAATAATGCTGAAGTACAAAAATAATTCTGAAAGTAAATGTTTGACTTCCCAAGGAAAAAAATCTTTAAAATTTATTTTAGGTTTTGTTTTTCTGTTTTTTAATGGGTAATTGTCTTATGCTGCAACCAGTGATATATCTTTAATAGTTTCTTATTTTTCTGCTGGTCAGATTTTGTATAAAAAGTATTACCTAATACCTGTAAACATAAAGAAATGCAAACTGTAATAAGAGTGATGTCTAATTTGGTTTAGTTGAAAAAAACAAACAAAAACCCCTCCCAAAATACATCAAACAAACCATCAACAACTGTATTTTAATTTTTTAAGGTACTGTACAGTTTTATCCTTTGCCATAAGTAACCATGAATATACCCACCTGAAATGGTAGAATATGCATTTAATTAGATATTAAAAATTATTTCATTTAAAAATCTTTAATTTTTGTTTAATTGAAAATGACTTTGCAGTTATATTATTCTGATTGTGGGCAATAACCATTTGTGCTTCCTAATCCTCAGAGTCTTTATCTTTTGAAGTTTTAAGAGTTTTATAAATAATGCTTTTAAATGAATTTTTATGATGATGTAGCACTGAGTCATTTAGTTGATAGATACGATATCAGGCAATCTAATTTTTGCTGAATGACCATATGCTAGTTGCACAATTCTGTGGGTGGGTTTCCAAAGTTTCTACCAAGTCTGAAAACTGATTGGTTGTATGTATAACCTAAAGAGCAGAAAATCGGAAGAAATGTCAGCTGCTGTCAAGTAGTAACAAAAGTCCTATTAACTTCAACGAGGTAATGATTCATTTCTGAGTGTGAATCAATAGGGGACAGCTGGATGCAGGGACTCCATACTGGGAGCTTGTGTTCATGCAAACTAATGGTGTTGTGTTCCTGAGGATGTGCAAGGGAGGAAGGTGGCCACTGGATCTGCAACATACTGGCAAGCCCTTGTCCTGTATAGCGACCAAGCCTGTCATAGGAAGATACTGTTATCCTAAGACTGCGGTTGATGCACAATGATGATATACTTGAATTCTAGGCCGGTGAGAGTCTTTGGCCAAACATGAAGACAGTGTACCTATCTTATAAGTGATTTCCAGTGGGCTGTCAGCTCAGTGATAGCCTTTACTGTTCTGTCCTGGCAGTGCACGGTTATTTTTAGATGCTGTGTCACCATAGCAATACACTATAATGAGGTAGCTTGTCACTACAGTGATGCAGTATTGGCATCACGGTTTGTGTCCGGTGATGCTGTGTCACCATAGCGACGAGCTATGTCACCATAGCATGCCTCTATGGCAACATAGTATCATGTGTCCTCACGCCCTCTTACTAACTGAAATATCAAATATATTAACCACTGATGAAGAGAACTCCAGTTCACAGCAGTTCATGCTCTCTTATTCCGTTAGTCTATAAGGTGCATATAGATTAGCCTGACTTCTGGCTAACACAGCTGACTACCTTTCCTGTTTAGAAAGTTGACAACAAGAATCTACCTTTGGCTAGAAGTTGGAAAGTAAGAAAAATGAAAGGGAACAGGATGCTGTCAGAATGAGTAGAGAATAACTGACAAAGCAAACCAAGAAATCTTACATTATTTTACAAATGTCACCTTCCTTCCCTCAATTTTCAAAGTGAAATTCACCCACATTTTGTCATCTCTTGCATTTTCTATTCTCTTGTATATTTTTCAGCCAACTTTCAAATCTGGCTGTCACTGCACAAAATTATTTGCGAAACCCTTTCTACCTTTATTAGAAAGAGAAACAAAAAGAATCAAAACTTTTGACTGGGAAGAAAGTTGTATAAGCATTGTTTCTTTGGGATTATTCATGATCCAAAGAATGTGACAATAGTAAGCTTTTCTATTCTCCATCAGCTTTTTTTTTTCTCCACCATTTTCTAGGATTAAGAATAAAATCTGCTTTTTAGATAATGACAACTTTTAAAACATTTTACTATTCCTTCAATAGCATGATTCCTGCAAAAGCCACTTCAATAATCTTCAAGAAACTTTGAGGCAAATCGTGGCCAAAGCTATAGGGATTATTTGTTATTATGTGTTTCTTCATTTTGGACCTTTTCCTCTTTCTGAGTTGTTCACAAACAGATGTTGATTCCCCAGATATTGGTCTTAACTCTTTGATAAATGGTTTCCACAAACATATTTGACATAATTTTTCAGAAAAACTTGAGAGTATCCAATTATGAAAATTTGGTATTCAAACAATGATGGATCATCTCTGACACTTGTCACCTAATCGTTTTCAACCTTCATGCCTGTCAGTGTCTGACACCAACAATCAATGTGTGTAACAAATTATCAAAATATGGAACATCCATTCCTATCACATATTGAACCATTAAACCTGTGTGAGTAAATAAACCATTAAAAAGACCTAGAAAAGCAAATTTAATCTGATACAAATATAAGGATAAAACACCATTAGTGCTCAGTCTTCAAGATCCTCAGCAGAGACCTCCATTACCTGAACCCTAAAGGACTACACTTCTTTGTGTACCAGCAACTGAATTGCATGATAATGTACACTTTACCAGTAGGTTACACAACTATTTGCTGGATGGGAGCAGAATGTCTTGGTTTGGGAGCTGTGGAGTCTATTCTTTATTCTAAATTTAGGAGAAAACATTTAGAGCAGTAATAAGAGGATCGCTAAGCAAGTAGATTTGGCTTGTTTTCACTATGGTTGTGTGTTGTAGTATTTGGGTCTACCATATACTGATTACTTCACTGAGTTTTATTCAATGTCTTGCTTGAAGTAACCTTGTGTAACCCATCAGTTACCTTATTGTACAGGGGGAGAACAGTACTGTTGGCACTAGATTTATGACCCAGATATCTTATTCTGGGTGGACCCAAACCTTCAGATTGACCATGACTTCTACCATTCAATAATAGGCAAATTTTATTGATACACAGGGATAGCAGATAAAAAAAATGGAGGCAAGGCAAACAAAATAACCACCCTGATTCTATATCTACCAGTCCTAGGGCTGTCACAGAGGGAAGGTACATCTTGCTATTAATGCAAGCTTCATCCTGAGGTTCTGTCTTGAATGTCAGATGTCAGCAGCATGGAGGTTGAGAGTTGAGCCATTCCCTCTTCCCTTCTACCTCCCTCCCTTCCCTCCCCCACTCCCACCCCCTGCACTCCAGTGAGGTGGGTGAGATGGGCTTGTGGTGTGCCCTCTGTCCATGGTGGCCTCAGGATCCTCTCAAGGACCCTTTGCTACTCTGAATTCCTCTTTTTGTATCTTTTTTTTTTTCCTGTGCTGACTCTTCATTCTCAGGCATTGTTGATTGGTTTCCATGTGGTCATCATACTGTCCACGTTCTGTTCTGTCAGCATATTCCTGTATTTCCCTAACCCTGCTGGTTCCAGACACAGTGAGCCTTGAAGGAAACTTTGTCATAAACAGGCTTTTTGAAACCAATTAACTTTTGCCTTGGACCATTATTCTAATGCAATGTCTACTTTACATTCAAGCCAATTCCTAAAAGCAAATTTCTTAATATCATTTTCTAGCCATCAAGTACTTCTTTCTAAGGCATGGGATAAGCCTTTGCACATTCATTGCCAGAATTATTACTCATCTTTCATGTTGAAGGTGTTGCTGGCCACTCCGTCCCTTGCTGCTTCCTAGGGTCAAAAGAGGCCATGTTGAAGGTTTGCAATCCACAGCAGAGCAAGACTGAAGGAGTGGATAGGTCTGTGTTAGGGAGTAGAGGTGTAGTTGTGGGGGATGCACATAATTCTCCTAATTAGCCCCTGAAAGCTGCAGCTGCTTCTAGTTTGATGTTGGGCCCTGTGACTCATTCCTTATCCTCTCCTTCACAAGAAAGTTAAAGTAATTTCCTTCCAGATTATCCCCTTCTGTAGGTTTAGCCAAAGAAAGGGCAGTTCAGCTCACTGTGCAAACTGAAAACAGTTTCCTACAAGTACACAGCAAATAGCATAGGTTATGAACCTAATTAAATTGTACAGTGATTCAGAATCTGCAAGAGTGTTCAGATACATTTCTTGGCTAACTATATTGCTGATGGCTGCTGATTCTTTGCTTAAGTGTAGTTCCTTAGACTACAACTGTACAAGAGAAGAGAGAGCAGCCTTGTGACAAGGGGTCTTGACCCCAGTTGAGCACGCATCTATCCTTAAGTTCATTATTAGTTGCAGTGCAACTATTGTCTGCTTATATGTAGACATGTGCTTGGAACCTTGGCTGAAGTGGAGAAACCTATATAAGCGCTCATAACTGAGGGAAGTCTGGAAATAGATTTTTTTTTTTAATAAAACAGAGGAGAGGTGTTTTTGTTCTTGTTTTTTAAAGCTAAACAATGAATGTAACATTTTTGTTCTGACAAGTTTGCCTTTAACTTATAGCTAACAGTTTGGATAGATTCAGAAACAGCTGAATCTCAAAAATTAAGTTAATTGCAAATATATAAAGTTCCTCCTCTGTTGGCTTTTATGGTTATTTGAAGTATGATATAGATAGAGGAATTTACAAAGTTGCTTTCATTTGGGGAAAATATGTTGTTTGTTTTCATAAAAAATAAGTTATTTATTAGATAAACTTCTACCGAGGGAAGGAGAAAATTAAATAGTATATCAACATTAAAAACACATTGATGCATACTTTAATGAGATTTTCAGTCAACTAAAAAGGATGAGAGCGGATTATAGTTTAAATTGACTGAGAGTATTCATAAGAGAACTTCATTTACTCATTTTCCCTTTCTTTCCCAGAGTCCTTCCTTGTTCATGTTGTTTCTCTACCGCAAATATGTGCGCGTGCTTGTTTTTCCAAAAATGCATAATTTTAAGGGTTAAGAATATAGTATGACAATA